TCAAAAATGTTTCCAAAATGGTTTCAACAATGGTTTAATTTTTTCGGTTTAAATGAAAAAATCTTTCTACCTTCGGTTTTGGAAGGATATCACTTGTTTACAAAAACTTTCAACAATAGTGAAGACTCTTTGCTAGCTTTTTCCAGCAATTTTTTAATTGCATGGATAATGAGCTGGCAGTTTCACATCACTACTCCTCCTCCTCCAAAATTTCGAGAATTACAAAGAAAATTTCTTATTAAATGGTGGCCTAGTTTTCCATCCAAAATATTAGTCCACCAGCTGTGCAGATGTGGATCTCTCAACACCCGCAGTTATGTCAGCCTCAATAACAATCCACATTTTTGACGCAAAAATCAAGACTTCTTGCTGAGTTAGCTCAATGTCAAAACCCTCAAGATATGGACAAAATTATTATGGCCATTGGATCTTCAACATCGCAAAAAACAGAATCGGACAGCACCAAATCACCAAGCGATCAAGATGAGGATGACTATTTTGTCATGTTCCAAAACCAGATCAATTATGACTTCAATAAAGGCTGATGCTTCAGAATCATTTTTTCAACACTTTCGGCGGATCCTCAAGATTTATCCAGCTTCTCTACAACACTTGTCAAGAAGAGTTTCAATAAAGACTTTTATCACATGCTTGCATCACTTTCCTGTAGCAATAAATGCTTTTCAAGACTCCAAAGTTTGCAAGTTGCAATTGTCAAGCTCCTCTGACAAATAAGCAACAATTTTCAAGATATCCTTTAATGAGCCTTATCAGTTTGTCTGCCATTTTCAAAACAGATCCTCAATAATTCAAGACACGTATCCAAGACAGCTCATCACTTATCAACAACTTTATCTTTTCTCTGTAATGTATTAATGTAACGGATTCAAATACATTTGAAATCCGATCGTTTGTATTATAAATATGTATTACTTCTTTTGTTTCGGCAGGGGTTGAATTTAGAAGTTTTAAGTTTTCAAACACTTTGAGAGAGAGAGTTTCCTCTCGTGTACAAATTATCAAAGCAATAAAGTTGTAAGTTTCTTCATTACATTCAATTTATTTTGACTTAGTTTACATTCAATTAATTTACATTATTTGGACTAATGAGACCACATTTTGCCTTCCATCGTGTAGCAACCAAATGGGATTGACCAAGGGTAAACTAATCTTTAACTCTAAAATTTAAGAAAATAATAAAGACATAAATAACTTTGAAACTATGCAAATGAACACGTTATCCAATTGCGCAAGCTTAATCCTAAGGGGTTGACCTGACGATCAAGAATGTTTGTTTATTTCCTTGAGTTCTTGAATTCAAACCTTGGGACCATCTACCATAATAACATTGTAGGCTTACTTTGTCATTTGAGTTTGTATAGTGTTCAATGCACTCCGGAGATCAGTTAAGGTACACGCAAGCTGGCCCAAACACTCAGTTACCAAAAAAAAGATTGCGCAAGCTTCCTATTCTAGCTCCTATCACAAACTCAAAACTAGAGATGGAATTAGAACCAAAATGATGACAAGAAGCCCAAAGAAGAGAAATCAAGAGGAATTTAATGTACAAGACTTCTCTTGGCATTTGAAAAACCAAGGGTTATTACCCTTGACTATTCCTTTAGCTTTCAACTTTGCTTACAAACACCACATATGCTTGAAAATTCTCAATGATTTTCTGTCACATTGAGACTTTCTTTAATGACCATATTTGCCTTTTGCCATGTGACAATGAAATGTAATTGACCAAGGGTAAATTCATTTCCACTCTATTTAAGAAAATGATAAGACTAAATACGTTAGTGTGGATAACCAGTCTATCTAATTGCACAACCATTTTACTCCAAGCTTTTATCATAAACCTAGAACTAGAGATGACTTTAGAAACAAATCATAAGCAACCACAAAGAGAGAAATGGAAAGAAATTTAGGTCAAGTTCGTTTATGTATTTCATTTTTCATTTTCAATTTGAAATTCATGAGGGAATTGTTCGTTTACCATTTTTAGTTTTTTTTTTTTTTTTTAAACCTAAAACTTTAAGGAAACAATTAATGAACACTGTTTTAAAACCCGGACCAGGGGGCAACCCGCTCTGCTACCCAGGTCACGGGTCAACCGGTCCAATCGGTTGGATCAGTGACGTCAGCACAAAACAAAAAAACCTGTTTGTTTGTTTGTTTTTTTTTTTAAAGATTTCCATTTTTTAATAAGACAATAACAACTTAAATACCCAACATGCTTCAAAGTTCAAATTCAATAACAATCCGAACATAATTTAAGTATTTAACAACAATCCAAAGTCCAAATTCAAACATAATGTTGTGTTTATCTTCATCCATTACATATTAAATAACAAAATACATAATAATTAATAACAAAACATTTGGTGCAAGTGTTTTTTCTTTGATCCGTCTCCATGATGATTGAGTTTCACACACTAGCATCAAAATTCATCATCATCATCATCACCATCATTATCATTATAACCATCACCATCATCTACATAAATTTCAGTAAAAAAAAACTAAAACTTGGTATGCAAAGCTTACAGAATTAATATGGAAACCAAAATTGATTATTGCAATATGCAGAATTTCAATTAAAAGAAACAAGAGGATTATTAACATGCAATCTGCATAAATAGCAAGCTATTATCAGTACTAAAAAGTCTAAAATCTATAATGTACAAAAGATCAAACATGGAGGAAGTATAAACTAATTCAATAAAAGATCAAGTTCAAAAGTCATCTTATGCCCCAACGCTTTTAGGAAGGCTATTAAACAATTCATGTCATTTCGGAAGAAGGTAAGTTAGGATCTAACATTTTCTCTGATATGCACAGACAGACACACAATGATAAATACACAGATTTATAATCATTATTGAACCCGTGAATGGTGTGTTTATTACCTGGATTGTCGAGGAATGGAGTTGTCGTTGTCGTCGTTGTCGTCATCGTCGAGGAATGGAGCTGTTGCCATCGATTTCCAGTGATGAATGGAGTTGTCGTCGTTGTCGTCGATTTCTAGCAAGGAATTGAGCAGTTGTTGTCGTCGTTGATTTCCAGCAGGGAGTGGAGCTGTCGTCATCGATTTCCGACGAAGGAGGAAGGCGTCATCATCGATTTCAGAGAGTTCAGTTGCGATTGACACAATGGTGAATGGTTGCGATTTCTAACTTCAGAGAGTGGAGTTCATTGAGATTGAGTGCCGATTTGAGTGGGATTTCAAAGTTTCAAAGGAATTTGCGTAGAGAAACTGAGAAATTTGAGATACAAAGAAAGTGAGATTGTGAGAAATGGAAAGACGAAAGAGTTAGGGATATTTTTCCCCTTTTCAACATTGGACCGGTTTATCCGCCGGTCCATTTGGACTGACGGTNAGGGTGTTTTGGTGATTTTTTAAATTATTAGGTATTAAACTGATATTTTCCAGTGAAAAAAGTTTTAAAAAATGATAGTTTCCCCCCAAACTGCAAATTTGAAATAACACGAGTTCCTTATATCTTCTCTCACTTTCTTTTCGTTTCGTCTTTGTTCGTCTTTTAGGGTTTTGGTTCTAATAATTTCTCCACCTCGGTAAGTTCGCATCGATTCGACTCTAAGTGGATTCTATTTTCTTCATTCGCTGCTTATCAAATTTTCGATTGTTGTCTTCTTCTTTGACTACTTACTATTTTCAGCTTGTTCAATTTGCACTTGGACTTTTTAAACTAATTTTTCTTTGTTTGGGTTTTTTCGATGATAATAAATACGAATTTTAGGTTTTCTTTTTGTCATAATTGATGTGTTGACTTTTCTCGACGTGCAGGTGATATTTGAACTTTGGTTTCTGCAAGGAAGATGGAAGATTGGTTCTTTTATTTTATGAGTTTTGTTTAATAAAATTTGTGTGGGATTTTTAAACTGGGGTGGAATTTGAGAATTTTTAATTGGATTATTGCAGTTATTTGTCTTTTGTTTTGTCTTGAGTTAAGTTGGTCTTCAATTTTTTTCTCTCAACTGAGTTTTAGTAAAATTAGGTATGTGCTTTCTGGTAAAACATAAGGGCTCGCGAGCCTTAACGAGCTCGAGCTCGAATCTCAATTTTGAGGCTCGCCAGGCTCGAGCTCGAGCTCGACACTGCTGTAAACGAGCCGAGCTCGATAAGCCAAAAGCTCGACTCGGCTCGGCTCGTTTACACCCCTAATTGAGACTAATTGTAGTTACTTTGAGAAGGGAGTTGTGATTTTGGAGAGTTGAGAGATTGAAGAGAGTGAAGTGGAGTAGAGTCGCGCGAAAAATACTTAGATTTAGGGTTTTTCCATTTTAAACATTGACCCGGTTTACTAAGCGGTCTGGTTCGACCGGGCAGGTTGCACTGTTTATTCGGTTTAATAGGGGGTTTAAACGGTTTTTTAATTAATAACAGTTTTATATTAATTCGGATCGAACACACAACCGGGTCTCGATCGAATCGGTTGGACCGACCGGTCCGGTCCAGCTTTTAAAACAGAGGTTTTAATAGACAACACTTAGAGTGGACTCTCCCCCGAGTATGATTTTTCGGTTTCGCCACTGGCTAAGTCACCACACAATCAGTTTCTCCTTTGCAAATTGCAATCTAATTGACTTGAGATTTGAGAAAGAAAATGGTATGAAAAAGCAAAGAAAAAAAAAAGATTAAAGATGCAAGAAGGGCAAATTAAAATGAGAGGGAACGAAAAATTAATAATTAAAATTTTGTAAAAATATGAATAAGTTAAAGGTCAATATTATCCTCAGTGAAGATAATGATTATCAATTACTTTTTTTTTTCTATATAAAAATCAAGAAATAAAATAAAACCAATCAGCAAAGCAATGAACACAAAATACACTTAATATTTGAGCCAACCCCCTCAGTTAAGTTTGAGCATTAGTTCAATGGGCTTTTCTGCAAACCCCTAATTAAAATTTAAAATCATAGGAAGAGTGCCAATTTTGAGATGAAGAGGATAGAATTTTGTGTAAAGAAGAAAGAAGAATGGAAGGCAAACATATCGGCTCTCTATCAAAACGAGGAGCTCCGGACACAGGAAGACTCGCGATTGCGCTTATACATATATACACAATTCTGTGTGTCATATGGGCTAAGTCGAACTGATAAAAAAACTGAAGGTAAGTTCATGCTTAAACAAGAAAATATTTGTTCCTATTGCAAGTAAATTAACGAGACAAAACTGACACGTACAAGAAAACAGCTTCCATCCCAAAACTTCGATCAACTATTGTAAAAACTATCCGAACAGTAGAATCCTCAATAGCCAATGAACCACCCAAAACTGAAGAAAGGTTTTCAACAGCCCAAATATTGTCACACCACATAGCTGTTGCATATTTGGTGTGCTTTCTCGTGGCAATTCTCTATTCTACGATACCCTTCAGGCCAACTCTCAAGTAAAACATATTCTTTGCAACAGCAATGCTTGAACATTCTAAGCATCTAACAAACTTAAGCTTGCATGCACACTTCAGAAAAAAGTTTCCGGTAAATAGTCTGTGATCTGCATTTCCTTGTAAAGATTAGATCACAAATCCATCAGCCAGATACATTTCTTTTTGAAGTTCATATAGCCTGAGATTTTTGAGAATTGAAATCACATCATGCCTCCACTAGTTTCAAGCGAGGAACAATATTCATTGATTGGAGTTCCTAGAAACAATATCAAAAGTAGAAATGTCATCAATATAAAAAGGCAAGCAAAGTATTCTGAAGGCATTGTAAACAGCTGATAAGATAAATAACTGTCTTAAAATAATAATAATAATAATAAATAAATAAATTATGTGACTTTTTCAAAACGAAAGGCAAGAAAATATAAAAATCCCAGCAACAGATGACAATTCTTACTTTCACAAACCTAGCAGTCCCAACTTCAAGTTCAAACTAATGCATTGATATTTCAGAGCAAAGAAGCAGCAGAGAAAGCCACAATATCCTCCTGGCGATTATAAGATTAAATTTGGTAACTCAATGATTAACCTCCACTGATGCCATTACATATTTGTGTTTGTATAAGTCAATTAATTTGATAGATCTCTCGACGTCAACACTTGAAAGGAAAAAAATTTCTATTGCATGACAACATCAATAAATATCTCAAAACATCAACATTACAAATTCAGAGCTTCTTCCATAACTTATGAAAACAATATTCTGTTTTCATTTCTTAGAAAGCATTCTCAAATCTTAAAAATACAAAATTAAAATCTCTAATTTCATTTTCAAGTTTACTTTTGAAAAGAAAAAACACCAAACAAGCTCTTAATTTCTGATTAACTCATTATTCAAATGGTTTCTGTGTCTTATTACATCTTTTGAAGTAGAATAATTTAGAAAATTTGCAATATCAATCTCTCATAATCATTTGCACTAGTTCTTAGATAATTGGAAAAAATGGAACAAAGACTGCGAATCAGGTTATATCCATAGACTAATGGTGGAAGGCTTTGACCCTTCAATCACATATTATTTTGGGAAAATAGAGAATAATAAAGTAAGTTCAAAAATCATATGCTTCCAGTAGGCAAAACAGAACCCCCCTTTAAGGCTTTCCATATTTATGGGTCTATTCCCCATCATCTTAAGCTTTGAAGACAACGGCTTATTTATCAGTCTGTATACCAAGAGCATAGTCCTTAAATCCTGGTAACTTGATTTCTTGACTTTATTTCTTCTTATATGAGATTTTGAATTTCTTTACAGTTCACAATACAACATGCAAGGCCTGTACCCGTATCTAGAGATAAAGCAAGAAGGCTTCCCATATCTGCCCTCCATAATTGAGAACATCAACTAAGAAATGTCTTTCCAATAAGAAGCTAATTTAAACTAACAAACATATATGAGGATTAGTAATTTATCTATAACCAAACAAGATAATTGATTCAAGTTTCCCAAAAAGGAAATTAAGAACTAGACCAAGCTCTCACTCAAAATAAAAGGGAAAATCAGCAACGTCTATTTCATACACAACACCAACAATGAATAAAATGGCAATACCTGGATTAGGAGCTTGCATGCGTATGGCAGTTTCATGGTAGAAATATTATCCCCATTTTTACATGTTGAGCAAATCCCAGCTTTCAGCTTATGGTTATAATAACCCAACAAACCACACACTCTGCAGACCTGTGGCACAAGATAAATATTATCTAGCTAATTGGAGGATCAATACTACCATCTTTCTCCTTCCTCCAGCATAAGATAATATAGTAACATTTAGTGCTAGTAGATGTAAACAACTAAAAGTTTCAGAAAATTTACAATAAACAATTCAAGTATCCTTAGAAATATATATTACTTATACAGTAAACGGCTAATTTCGTCTTTCTCTAAGTGATGTGAACAGTTTTATTCATTTATTTCTTCATTTTCCTTTTGCTTTTAAATTACAGTAGAAGATTTTTTAAGAAGCTATTATTGCTTGGTGATTCCAGAGTCTTCTGTTCCATTATTTGTTGAATGTCAAAAAGCATTTGGAGGAGAGAAAAATGTAGATACTGCATTATGGCTGCTGTTTGGATAATAGTCTACATTTCTAACAGAACCCTTTTTACATAAACACTGATTTGCATTCTGGTGTTTTAAATTAGTACATTGTGCTCAACAAGACCACCTAACAACAACATAATATATGAAGTTGATGCTAGTGACAGAACAGTGATACTGGTATTACTGCCTTACACAGAATTATAATGCAAAGCTAAGGTTTCCCTCATTAAAACACCTTGAAGAGTGCAGTGTAACAAATAGTATAACCCTTTATAACAAGCATGAGCTAATACCTGAACTTCAAAAGGATCACTAGAAATCATTAGGCGCTCAAAAATCAGCATGCTAGCACCATAAGCAATCAAACAGTCACGTTCCATTTCTCCAACTCGTAATCCTGAAAAGTAAATATCAAGTTGAGACAAAAGTACACTTCCTAAGCCAAAAGTTCCAACATAAAATTATCAAGGTTATGGGTAATCAAAACCTCCATTTCGAGCTCTTCCTTCAGTAGGTTGTCGAGTTAGCATGACACGAGGTCCACTGCCTCGGGCGTGCATTTTATCTAGGACCTAATAACCATCCAAATTTGAGTTATTACGCAGATTGACACCAGAAAATTGATGAGTCATCTACAGTGCAATAGCTGTTAGTAAATTAAAATACATTGCGTGTGCATGCATTTTCAACCAAATGAAGAAATTGAGCTCACATAGCATATAGATCTAAGTGTATCAGATACATTGTGACAAAGAAGATTTAGTTAATAGCAAAAACAACATCGAGCAAATGATCAATTCCTTTTTCTTGATTCTCAGTCACTTTTATTTTATTTTAAACTTTTATAAGAAACGATAAAACTACATATTAAAGAAGAGATTGTGGCAGGTACATCAGTGGACTACAAATCCACAAATATATCGAAAAAACTGATGAGGGGAACTAATCTATACATCTCTTCCCAGTGTGAAAACAAGTAAACTAAACAATATTAGCCCAAAACCCCCTCCCAATTAAGATTAATAAACTCCTTTGAAACTAAAGCCCAAATAGAAGCAAAAAGTCTAACCCAATCCCATTTTTGTTATTCCAGAGGAAAAGCACATGGAGAATGTCAAATCCCATTCCACGATACATAGAGTATATGCAGTGTGTTCATGGTATGTACTTTATGTTTAAGCATAGAGTATATGCAGTGTGTTCATGGTATGTACTTTATGTTTAAGCAATCCCCAAACTTGGAATCATAAGTTTAAAGTCTAGGCATCTGAAACATTAACCCTTAAGTTCGTTTCTGGAACCATTCAGGCACCAATTGCATGCTTATATTTCAAAATTTGGTTATTTGCTAATTCAAGAGAGAAAATAATTATGGCCCTGACTTGAACAACATCCAGATTAACAAGAATGAAAAATGGCACATCAAAAAGGGAGGGAATCTAACCATATGTTTTAACTTTTGGTAGTAAATTGGACCCATGAAAATATATGCTTGCAGAGGACAACCCGAGATGCCTGAAGAAATGTTGAAAGTTATCAATCAGGATGAGTCCCTATCAGACATGCACAAAAATAATCCAAAAATGTCCTAAATGAAGGAACTAATTATTTGGCAGGGTTTCAATGATTCATTGTAGGCTAAATTGATATGGAAGTTTTGAGAAATAGCCAGCCTAGATTATAAACCTGAATAAATCAAGTCCTTGCCACTGTAGCTAAAGCCATGCCTCACCAGGGTTTCACTGACAGAAAGTAAGAAACAGCTTTAAGAAATGAAATTTATATGCTCGATAAGAAATTACATAGCAAATAAGAAAAGTACCTTATAGTTTCAACCTTGTCTGCATGACCACTTGGTTCGCCAAAGGCACTACCATAATGAAACCTACCACACGAAACTCCTGCTTTACCCCCCAAAAGCTCGATCATCTTCCCTACAGTCATTCGACTGATAATAACAAAAGATATAAATACATTAATATACGTTTGAGAGCTTTAACAATTGAATATTAGTGAATTAAAGTTGTCACCCACTAAAAAGAAAACAAAGACTTGTTTGACAAAGGAGTACTTGATTTTTCATTCGCGCAGGCAGAACATCAGACATACAAGTTAAAATTATCAAAAAAGTAATACCATTAAACATATGCATATTTTGGCAAATTCTACGTTAGAAATTTCAAATAAAATATCTTCTTATTAATCTTTTCCATCATTCAGTAATTTTCTCAAATTCCAAAATCTTAATGCCTTCACAACTTTTAAGAAAACAAATTTAGAGAAATAAGATCCTATAAAGGTACAAACATGCATGTGTGCACACACCCATCTACAAGCTCAACAATACACATGAATACACAGGCATCCAGGCACTTAGATGCCCACTAACTGAAAGAATCGTTAATCCAGCTCATGTAGTTCAGAAAAGATCATTCACTTTTGACATTGTTGTTTTATATATAAATGGATCAAATAAGACATTTTTGAGGTTTTGCAAAATGACTCACTTCCTCTTTCCCTCTTTCCCACCCTCTCTATCTATCTCCTTCTAACACCCAAAATCTAAAACTAACCCTGACGCCTCTAGATTTGTGGCCATTCATAAATTTGTCATCTGACACAATTTATTGTATAATGACTAAAATCCTCTTCCCCTTTCATGTATAAAATAAATAACAAATCATTAAACAAAACCAATTATTTATTAACTCCAAGACCAAAAAAAAAAAAAAAAGAAAAAAAGAAAAAAAAGAGTAAACATAAGAGCCTACCTGGCCAACAATCACCCCCTCAGCAGTAACACGAAAACAACATACTCGCCAAAGGAATCAAACCTATACCAAGCACTTACCACTTGGCTAAAAGTTGTAACTATTGGTAGAAATCCAATCTTATTTTCTTAAATCAACCCTACACCCACAATTCAATGTGGCTTGGTCCCTCAGCCTCTAGCAAGGCAAGATGCTTGCCGTCTTGGTCAACAAGGATTGTATGAGAAAATTGTTTCTACAACATTTCAATCAAACATATCTTCTTAAATTTTTTGCACCTCTAGTTTCCAAATTACATATCAAACAAGCCACAAAAAGCCCTCCCGCTCCGCCAACCCGCAGTCAACCAACAATCATAACATAATGAGCCCTACATTGTCACCAGTTTGACAATGTTGGTTGCTCAATCCTAGCTATCATCATTAATTTATTAAAGAAAAATTGAAAAACCCAAATCAAAACAACAAAAATGCCCACACCCCAAAACTGTCGCCAAAAGGTGCACTTAGGCATCAAGTCAAATCAAATCAAAACAATGTGAATTGCCCTCTTTTCCAGTTTAAAATGAAAAAGGCTCTCCATCCAAAGGCCCACAACAACACATTCAGTTTGTGGAGTTTTGCATAAGTTGCATTGTTGGTTTGTAAGAATCACAACATAAGTTAGAAATGCAAGAACTAGAGCAAAAGTTTGTTTTTTCTTTAATTCTTTAATAATTTTAAAAACCATAGAAGCCCTTGTACCATTTAAATTAGATTAAAGGCTGTTAAATCTAGGGGTGTTTATGTTAATTTGCCCATCTCAGGGGTGCCAATTTAATTCCCCAGTAAGAATGGTTCCTAGAAATTCTAGAAAAAGTATGTTTTAGAATGTTCATGGATTATATCTGGCTAGATATTTAAGGTAGAGTGGAAGCTTTTCATCTTTGAATTAGATGAGATGTTTTGAGGAAAAAGCATCAGAATCACTGAAAGAAACATGTATAAAAAATATTCAAATCAATGTTGGATAATTTCTATACATGTTTCTTTTCAGTGATCCTGATGGTTTTCCCTAGAGACATCTCATCTAATACAAAGATGAAAAACTTCCACTCTATCTTAAAATATCTAACCAGATGAAAAATTCTCTTAGTCATACTGTTCCTTCAGATTCTTGTGTAGCTTCCCCTAGGAATCACAATAAGATGATATATTAATAATGAGGGAAGTTGGATTGAATTCCAAGCAATAAGTACAATGGAGTTTCTCGGGAAGGTGGATTAAAATGCAAGCAATAGGTCAAGCAAAATCCTTGATGGGCATAAGCAGCAAATTAAATACTGAAATGCAGTAGAGAATTATATAGGCCTTCCCCTGGGAAGTAATCCTAGGGCTTCGAAACTTTTAAGACCCAACATTTGAGAGGGTAGAGAAGAGACTTGATGGGCAGAAATTTAGACATTTCCCTGTAATATATATTTTTTGTTTCTTATGGGAAAAGACTTAGTAACAATTAATTTTAAATTAAAAATTATAAAATTCTACAAAATGATTTAAACACAGACACATACATAACACAATCTTGCTTCTCTGCAAATGAAATGACTAGCTCAACTGTATTATGACAAATTGGTTTAAAGCTGAGTTCAAAATTTTAGTGAACGAGATGGCATTAATTTTTTACTTGACAGCGGATTTTCTTTTCATTCATCTCAGTTTAGATAAAAATTATACCGAAATATAAATGAAAACAATGATAAGTAGTATTAGAAGTATAAGTTGTTACCTGGGAAATCCATGAGGATTCATGATTAAATCAGGACAAATGCCGCGTTCAGAAAATGGAAAATCTTCCTGTTGAATTATAGTTCCACAGACACCTTTCTGCCCATGTCTGCTGCTAAATTTGTCACCAACCTGAGCATATTGGTAAGTAGAGCGTGACTAAAAGTTTGAGATAAATGATAAAGGAATATTAATTCACAACCAAGCCAAAGTATTCTTACCTCAGGTCTTCGAGTATGGCGAATTAAGAACTTGATACATAAGCTATTATTTTTATCGGAACAAAGAGCGACTCTATCAACTACACATGTCTCCCCTTCTGGACCTTTGTATGTTTGTCTAGTGGGCCTATATTTACTGGATAGTACAAAAAATTAAGCAATATCAATGAGTAAAACACCTACATACATTTTCCCTAGGAAGCAAACAACCAACCTATCTGATTGTCCCGTTGAAGATACCATTGTTCCTCTTGTCTCAATAGGGGACTCTTTATTAATATAAATGTCATTCGGTCTAATAATTTCCCCAGGAGCAGCAATTCCATCATCGTCCAATATCTACACAAGATGGTGGAATATATTCAGCACAAAATCTTCTGTTGTGTAAAAACTATGCATGCAAATATTCATTGAGATTAAACCAATAGGAATAACGTACAAAAATCACCCACTGCTAAGTGGTGAAGAATTAAAAAGTATAATTTTACGTGTTACCTGCATCCTTTCAGCAGCAGGCCCCGTTCTATCCGGCCTTAATATTCTATCTGATGTATTATTTTCATACTTTTGATTGATGGCAGAATACCTGTTTAATTGAAAGCATCATATATAAGCAGCTGTAAGTACATTGTAACAAGAACTAGGCAACAAAATCTTTTTAAAATAGAATGTGCCAAAAAACAAAAAATAACATGAAAGGCTAAACATCATATACTTTTTCATAACAATACAACGGCCAAAACCACGGTCTAAAGAGGACTTGTTCATGACTATTGCATCCTCTATGTCATAGCCACTATAACTCATCACAGCAACAGTTGCATTCTGACCAGCTCCAAGCTTATCATATCCAACCTAATAATAGCATAAATATCAGTTTACAAGCCATGATTGCTTTAAAAGTACAACACAAATATACTGACCAGTTCAATTGTCCTCGTTGTTAGTAAAGGCCGTTGAGGATACACCAATAGGTAAAGCAATGTGTCCATCCGACATAACTGCAGATTGAAGAAAGAATATGAAAGGAAATTTGCACAAAGCATAAAAATAAAAAAACCAATCTTTATATGTTTGTTATTTAAAGCATATAGAACCACTCTTAAGGAAAAAGGCCCAAGGATTGCTACACAACAATTACACTAGAAAAGAAAAACAAAAACAAAAAAAAATTCAGAAAAATTTAACTAACACCACATAGAGGAAACATGCAGCCAAAGTGGCAACATGGTTGTTCATCAAAACTTATAAGTAAATTGAATAAAAGAAAATCTATATTTTAAGATTTCAGCAAAAACAAAAAGGTTTTAGGTTTGAAAAATAGTAAGTTTCATTATTTCTTGTACATATTGCTTGTTTGAGAATATTTCAAAATCTTTCATTACTGGAAATTTTTAACAATATCACATCATTTCAAATCCGTAATTGGTTGTACATATAAAAAATAAATAAACTAAAAAAAAAAAAATAAAAATAAAAAATAAAAAAAAAAAATTTACTGGTGGGATATTTATTCCTTTTGGCAGGGCAACTCCCAATGTCTATATTTGTATACTATTCTATCGATTCAATATACGAAAGAATTCTACTCTTTTTCAATTTGGAATTAGAGCAGGTGTGAATAAATCCATCTTCGTTTACTGCCAAAGCTCACCTAACAGCATAGAACCTACATTTTTGGTTTTTGTTTCCCTGATGCTTCAAAGCTAAACCTAAACCATGCTTACCCTTCACTGCCAAGAAACAGTTTCAAAGTTCCAAAGTTCTCAAGAACATGTAAGAAGTAAACAGAAAACATTCTGCCTCCTCCAAGACCATATTAAACTCCTCCCAAAATACTCAAAAGTCTGCCTCATCCTGTCTTTACACATAATGACAATACCAACACATAACTAATGAAAAACTCAATGGCCTTACCTTTTCGCAACGTTTCTTATTATCCAAACTTTACATCAAATGTATAGAGAAGATGGGTTATCTTACAGATATCAAGTAAGCACCTACCTTTGAACCCCCCAAAATTGGAGTGTGGGATGAGGAAAATTCAGTGGCTATTTCTAGGCTCTTACACTCTAGGCCACTGGATACAAGTGGGGCTTAAGCAATTTTTTCCGCTAAAAAAGAGATAGGGAAAGTCACATCTTGAACAACACAAATCTCTGAACTGAAAAATTGAATCCCATTTTTTAAGCAAGAAACATGTTTGTGACAGAATATTGCATCATCTCAGGCAACTTGATCTCTGATCCATACAAATACTTAACTGACCCTAAGTGCATCATTAAAGTAACTTTCTAAACCATGAATTAAAAATTTAGAGACATCTAACTACATGACAAGCAATCCCAAATTGCTCTCCACCAGTGAAAGAAGTTTAAATTGCTATAGAACTGTCCCCCATCACTGGTAATTCCCTTAACTTTCTTGTGATCTGCCCTTCATGCTCCTAAACTTTCTTGTAACCTCTTAACCATCAAGCTAGATCACTGAACAACTAAATTGCTCAGTAACTTTCTTTCCGTTCATTGTATTTTTCAAGAACTTGTGATGTGGAGATAATTAGACATTACTCGAGAAGAACGAACTGTACTACTTGAAAACAAGAAGTTGGCTGCTCTCACAATTTCTTTTTTTTTTCTTTTTTTTTTGGATAAGAAACTTAGAAAAGCATATTACTGTTAAAAATTAAAAAAAAAAAAAAAAACTTAGATAGTGGATAATTTATCCACTAGTACAAAAATAACCCGTCTAAAAGGGGTGTAAAACTTTACATAGCTGACATAACTTAACAAAATGGTATGGCCAAAAGAAAGAATCACCTTCTAGAAGTTCTTAGGTCTCTTCTTTTAAAATTTAATTTCTCAAACATTACTTGAGAAAAAGCCATTATAGATGCTACCTAATTGGATTCTCACCAGAGTCCTCAATTGCAAATCCCCCAAAGACAATCTTAACAAAATTTCCCTCTTTTGACTGGGTTCTGAAACATATCTCCAAAAGTTTTTGGATGTGTCCTTCATTCATATTTCAAGTCACTCAAGAAACTTGTTGGATAAACGACCATCATGCTTTTCCTACGTCACTCATCTACGCAAAAGGTTTTCATTCTCCCAGCAAGAAAAAGCTTGTTACCATGGATGTCATATTTGTTGAATCGCAACCTTATGATTCTCACTTATATTATTAGGGAAAGCATAATATCATGGATTATAGGACTGTATTTAAGCATATCTNAAAAAAAAAAAAAAAACTTAGATAGTGGATAATTTATCCACTAGTACAAAAATAACCCGTCTAAAAGGGGTGTAAAACTTTACATAGCTGACATAACTTAACAAAATGGTATGGCCAAAAGAAAGAATCACCTTCTAGAAGTTCTTAGGTCTCTTCTTTTAAAATTTAATTTCTCAAACATTACTTGAGAAAAAGCCATTATAGATGCTACCTAATTGGATTCTCACCAGAGTCCTCAATTGCAAATCCCCCAAAGACAATCTTAACAAAATTTCCCTCTTTTGACTAGGTTCTGAAACATATCTCCAAAAGTTTTTGGATGTGTCCTTCATTCATATTTCAAGTCACTCAAGAAACTTGTTGGATAAACGACCATCATGCTTTTCCTACGTCACTCATCTACGCAAAAGGTTTTCATTCTCCCAGCAAGAAAAAGCTTGTTACCATGGATGTCATATTTGTTGAATCGCAACCTTATGATTCTCACTTATATTATTAGGGAAAGCATAATATCATGGATTATAGGACTGTATTTAAGCATATCTTAAGAAAATAAATATATACAATTTCAAGTTTTTTATTTTTTTTCAAGCAATTTTTTTAACAGATTAATTGAAAAATTGGGTAAAATCTATACAACCTCTCAACTTTTAAGAACTAACACTTGAACCACATAGATTTTGAAATTACACAGTTAACTCCTCCAAAGTTCGTTTTCAATGTCAAAGTTTGACCACAAAAACAACCGAATGTTTGATTTTTTTTTTTAAAAAAATTCACCTAAACCCAATTGTCTATGCCCATAAATTTAAAGAATGTAAAAAAGAAAAAGAATTATATATGACAAACCACCACAACCTTATACCCGTAAAAAAATATATCAATTTTTTCTGATTCTTTTAACTTTCTAAATACAACTGAATTGGAAAATTTCCTGTAAAAAAATTGATTTGATTTGATTTTTAAATTTCCTTAAGATTTTCTAAGGTTAAATTGAGGTCTAGTATCAACGTCAGTCAACAATTAATTTTAACATCCAAAGGTAAAGACTAGTAATGTAAGTGTAATTTTCAAAGCTATGGGGTTCAAGTGTCAGTTTTTCAAAATTGAACAGGGGCTGTGGATTTCACCAATTGAATATAGGCAACTCATGCTTCACATAAACCTGGAAAACCAAGTTATGTGAAATACTGCAATATAATCGATGGTTTAGCACAAAGAAAGAACACGACTTCTAAAGAAATACAGATGTGACTTAGCAATGAGCTTAAAACCACTTACCTCATTATATGCTATATTTCCCATGGCTTGCTTCCCCATAGCACACTACAGACAATAAAATCAATGAAATGTGAATTTAGGGTAATTAACAGGAACCCTGTAAAAGATTTGCAATTGAAAAACAAAAAAGGAACACTTAATGCTATTATCAATTAATAGAAACACCGCTACAAAAGGATTTTTTTTCAATAACTAATAATAATAATAACAGTGGATTTTTTTAAAATTAAAAATCTCTCAAATGAATATATAATCATAGTCTTTTTATTTATTGAGATACATAATTAATGACATCAGAAAAAATGTTGACAGCATACCTGATAGGTATTTCTTGGTGATTGATTATGGTGAGGATATGGGATTAGCCCAGCACAAACACCTAAGATGGTGAAAGGTTCTATCTCAATGTGAGTTGTGTCAAGCGTAGCTTCTCCTTCATATAAAGCAATCTATAAAGCATAAAACAAACTATCAAGAGTCGTTTTCTATCATATACAATATCATTAATGAAAATGACTGAAAAAGTTGTTAGTCATAAACAAACCAGAGCATTGTTCTCCTCATTAACATCAAGATACTCAATCAATCCGTCACGCAAAAAGTCATTAAAAGTGCGCACTCCATCCTTGAAGAATAAACACACTACATTAAATTTTGATATAATCACTATTCATTGAAGAAAATATAGCATAAATAACACCTACCGCCAACTCCTTCATATGATGCTGTTTGATCCTTGACACACCCTTGTCAGCGATGACAAGTGGACGACAAACCCGTCCTCCATCAGAAGCAATATAAACACAGCGCTGATAAACATTACTTTTCTCAAAGTCAGATGCTTATATGTAATTATTAGTTACTATAGATAACTGTGCACAAGGACAATCATATAATATTGTGCTACTACTTTCTTTGATATTTTGATACCCCAAAAACCTTTTCTCTTATCTACTTGTTCACCGTTCTAATTAGGAGACTACCAAATCCTACTATCTAGTGGCCAAGAAACTTGTCGGATATAATATCCCAAATAAGTGGCCCCATGCAAAAGCAAATTAAGACAAGCAAAAGCCTGCTGACAAATGCTCAGGATATAATACAATCTAAGAGCTCATAACACAATTTCAACCTGGTACATATAAATTTTAAAAGCCTATACAACTTCGATTGACAATTTAGCCAAGTAAATACTCCATAACTCCACAGACAACTAGAAAACAAAATTTTTATATGTTAAATAATTTATAATAGATATTTTATTTCAAAATAAATGCACCAAATCAAGCACAAGCAGAATTAAACTGACAGAAGAATTTACCTGCTTCTCATTAACAAAGACACTTACAAACTCGCCAATTTTACCAGCTCTTCGCAACTTCCTCAGGGCATCAGCAAAACGCTAATCATGATTTAAAAATTATTGAAAGTGGAATAAGATCGTTGTATACATATCTTTCTATATGCGAAAGTATTCTTTACATATATCCTTGAATATCATTTTAATGGAACAGGTAAATACCTGAGGCCTCCTATGCTTGCCAAGGATAAGCCCATTAAATATAACCAAAAACGAAGTTGGAGTGTGAAGCTCTTCTCCAGAGAGTAATTCCAAGTCCTCAACGCCCAAACAATAGCACTATCACAGCAACAAAAGATATTTTCATAAATGTGAAATAAAGAGGACACTAATGCCATATATGTTAAGTTTCCAATTTATCAGCACTTGAACTAAAAACTTGAGTTGCTCCTTTCTTTTTCCTTTTTTATGTGACTATGATTGACAAAAAAATAGAATGTACAGACAATGCATTACAATAAGATAATAGCTACAACACATTCCCATGAATTTACAGAAGAAATAGATGAGACTTAAAGCTTGAAGTTGGGCAAAGAATCCATTTTATGAAGTGAAGCTATGGTAACTAAATATAAACTAATCCTGACAAAGAATTTCTTTCTTTTCGTTTGGTAAAAATAATGTCATTATACAGTGTCAAAACTAGTTGCTGATAAATGATATTGAAAATAAGAGGCCACATTCATGAACCAAAACATGTAAATATACACACAAAGTTCATGTAGAGACATTGCTTCCACCAATATAATTTCAACACAACCAAACAACTATAGAACACTTCCAGCAGTAGATTAAACTGAAATTTTGTGTCAATGAATACATACCAGAGAAATTAAAGGACCTTCCTCTTCATCAGTTGTAACATGAGTCATTAAGGCCAAATTTTTTACCAGTCCACAAGCTTCACCTTCTGGAGTATCACATGGGCAAAGCATACCCCACTGTGACAGAATTACAGAGCAAAAAAGTAGTATTTCATTTATAGAAATTCAATGTAGTCTACGCAATAGCCTAAGAAACCAAAAAACAATTATCAAATTCGGAATCTTATGAATGGAAAGCAGAGACAAAAACTTACTTGGCTTGGTTGCAATGCTCTCGGTCCACTAACTTTCCTAGACTTCTCAAATTGTGGTGAGATTCTTGTCATGTGACCCAAGGTCCCAATGAAGGAAAGCCTAGCCAGCACCTTAGAATCAAGGATTTTCCATCAGTTAATGCTATATGAACAAACAACCAAGAGAGCATATGCAAAGCAAAATGAAAACAAATGGAGAGGCAGCAAGCATACCTGTGTCATTCCTTTCCTGTGCATTTTGAACCGCTTGACATCAAAATTTCCAGTAGAAAGGGTCCTTTCAAGGCCAACAGTAATGCTGTCTCTAACTATAAACTACAATTTAAAAGGAAAAAGAACAGAGAATTTTATTTTAGAAGGAATCTAGACTCCTGGTTTGAGATGAAGATTTTCAGAGACATGGCAAACAACAGACAGAATGCAGGAATTTAATAACATTATGAATCATCAAATTCCCAGATAAGACAAAGTGCAGTGTAGACTAGACGTGGCCAAGAACAATATTGAAGTAAACCCACTTTTTGGTGCTTTTTATTACAATTTGACAGTACAAATTTGTTCAGAGACAATTTTTTACCAACACTTCTACTCAAATTTTCCCCTAACAATAGCTAAACACCTACATCTCAAAACATTCAATGGTCATCTTCACAACATTTTACTCAAGATAAAAAAATTACATACTAAAAAGCAATATTAACCAAATGTACCCTCTCTATATTATTTATGTAATTCAGAAGTCAAAGTACTTAGGATCTTACAGCAACATCTAGTACACCATTCCAACTACAAAAAAGAAAAAAAATGTGTCTTTTATTAATTCACACACTGAAGGTACTTTGTATATTGAGGAATTTTTTTTTTTTTTCTTTTTTTGAAAAAAGAAAAAAGAAACTATGAGAATTGAATCAGTAAGGAGCATAAGGAAAGGAGACAATTATGGGTCAGGTGTCGACAATGAAACTGAAATACCCAGCATAGAGGCAACAAGTTTATACAAAACAGCAACAGAAAACCTGTCAGTGATCTCTTGAATGTGATTATCCCTCTGCATAACTATATAGGTAACAAACTACACAATTAACCCAAAATACTCCCTTCCCAGTTGTGAGGTATCCACAATGAAAGAAAAATACATCATAGAGGTAACAATTCTATACAAAAAGAGAAAGCCTGTCAATGATCTCCTATGAGTACTTATCCCTCCAAATGACTAAACTGAAATAACCGCACAAAATTAACCCAAAATACCCCCTTCCCAGTTGTGAGATATCCACAATGAAAGAAAAATACATCATAGAAGTAACAATTCTATACTAAAGGAGAAATCCTGTCAATGATCTCCTATGAGTACTTATCCCTCCCAATGACTAAACTGAAATAACTGCACAAAATTAACCCAAAAAACCCCTTCACAATTGGTATGTATAAAAAGAAAAAGAGGCAATTTTTGGATTTATTTGTTGAAGAGGGGCAGAAGGATCTTTGAAGATCCAAGGGGTAGTAAATAGAATTCTTATGCATAAGTTAGATTGTGGATACGTCTTTATGGGCTTTAGCTTAATCTGAATTTTAAGGGAGCTAATTTTTCTTCATTTATTATAACTCAAAAGCTGTGTATTGTGATCTGAGGGTTGACTTCGTGCATCATGTCATCTCTTTTTCCTTTTCCTTTAATTCTTGTCCAAGATTATTACTAATATCTACTCTCTTTTTCAATCAAGAAATCATGGACTAGGGAGTCCAAATGTTTTATGAACATGAGTGGACTCAACTTGTATAGAATTTTATAAAAAGGGAATGTGTAAAAGATAATGTTTAGTGCTTGTAAACAATTTCAAAGTAGTTTTAATAAAGACCTAGTTTCTCACACAAAATAGAAAAACTTAAAAAATGAATTAAAAATAAACAAACAAAAAGATGCAATTAACCATGAAATTAAGTGTTGAGTGTTCTAACTTGGTTCAAGATTCAAGGATTTAGCATTAAATAACTTTTGCTATATTATGACAATTGTAAGCTAGTGCACACCAATAGGATTGAAAACTTTCCTCTTTATAAACATTAGTGATAAATTGGAGAGTTTCATAAGTTATGCTTCTATTTTAAAAAGATAAAAATAAAAATAATATCTATTAAACACTTACTTGAGAAAGATCAAACCGGCTAGACCGGCTAGGCTTTGATAGAATGATATCTACTGTCTTTTTAACCTCACTAATCATTGTCTTGAATAAATCCTGCAATAAAGAAGTCCATATAGTGTATAAAAAAAAAAGAGAGAATTATTTGGAGATGTATAACGTTTCCAAGTGCAGCAAAAACTATAACAACCTCGTACCTCAAAAAGTAGTGAAACTAATTGGCCTGATAATTCCAACCGTTTATTTCCCACATAGTCCTATAAAATGAAAGAAAAATATTTACTTTATATTTCACACACACATGCACGTGCGAGCATGCACACACATGCACGCATGATTATTCAAACACATAGAGCCACACTTACAAATTTGCATGTGATATTTATGAAATTAATAAGCGTAGGCATATAGTAGTTCACCAATATACTCACAGAAAGAGAATTCAGTTCCAAATTTGCATTTGCTCTTTGTAAAATTTATAAGGACATGAGATATAGTAATCATTTAATGTTAATGCTTATAGGCCTGTTAAATTAATGACTAGTCCTTATAAGATTAATGCAAAAGTCTGAACTTAAAAACTAAAGAAGTGTTGTCCCCAAGGAGATAGCCTACTTGGTAAGATTTCTTTAGAGGAAGCAAGAGGTCTAGGGATCAAATCACACTCATATCAACCTAGGAGAACGATCTATCTAGCTTTAACTGGTACGTTCTACCATAAATCCGCCAACTTTGACATTCTTGTTATTGGTAGACCTAGAAATGTGATCAAGGTTTCTAAAGGCATAAAAAAGGGGATTTTGTCTAACTCTCTAAGTCACATTGGTAATTGATGCTCTTAGACGATTTGTGGATAGAGGTAAGAATATCAATAAAAGAAGGGTTCTTTTCACTGGAAGGAGAAAAAATAGTACCGAAATCTTTTGTCACTATTCTAGATGCCTAATTGTGGCTAAGAGGCTGAAAAGGCCAAGAGAGACTACTTATAAGAAGGGGTTAGAGAAGAAAAGAGAGACCACTAGGTTATGTAAAGTTTTGTTTGAAGATTGGGTCTTCCCACCAGGGGTTCTACCTATAGCAAAAGGGTTACTTACATTGACATATGTCGAGCTTTGCTAGATAAATGTCTTTGCAAATTCTCTTTCGTACTTAGTAATCAAAAAGCGAGTACAGGATTCATAAAAAAGGATGGGACAACAAATTAGTATCAGCAATTAGTGATGGACAGAAAATCGTATTTTTGAAAAACACAGGAACACGTAGTCCTTTTGCATCATAAATGAAAAATACTACAGAAAACCAACACAAAAAAAATGCATCTGCTTTCCCCTTTTTTATGAGAAAAATGCATTGTTTTTCTTCATACAAAGGATTCATGGTCAAACAGTTTCCATTTGTTTGACTGATGTTAAAAACGGTGATAGAGATGTAACAGCTACAAATAAAACTCAGAGCAATGGCTAGAAATATTTCATCATGCTATTAATGCAGCCTTTACAATGAGAAAAAGATGTAGAATTTCCTAAACTTCATGAAAAAAATTGGTCCCAAATCCTATCCTATGGTGACTTCCAAGAAGTTAACCATAATATAATCTTCTACATGAAAAAGCATCATAGCAATTCTTTTATTATGTTTTGAGAAATTTCATGTCTATACATGCATGTACATGGGTCATGTCCTCTTCCTTAGCCCTCCTAGTAAATCTCCTTTGCTTACTAGAAAGTTGAAATAAAATACTAGTAGTAGCAACAATAATTAAATAAAGAATTTGATTTGTTATTCCCTGTAAATAATAAAAATAACTATAATAAATTAAAAAGAGAGTAAAGAGATTAAAGAAATTAAAGAAATTTCATTCATCTTACTAATTCAACAAGTTACCTTGTCATCCATAGCATCCTTATTTAGCATTGCCTCCATCATCCTTCTTAACATTACCGCAACATATAAACATTTTGGACGAAAATTATTGTTATGCACCTAAACAGTAAAGAAATATTGTGAAAAACTACCAAAGTTGGAAATCGTCATCAAAATCGAAATATCGTAACAGAACTTACAGGAACATTAGCAAGAAATACATCCCGAAGGATAGCCAAAGCTCTCCCTTCCTATTAAAAACATCAAGACAGCAGCGGTTAAACTTCTCAAAGCAATTCGAATGCTTAGAACCAAAAAGAATCAAATTTCATTTTGTCCTCATTATATGATATTACTCCACAGACTAAACAGAGCATAACTTTAGATAAAGTAGAATATGGACAAAAAATATTTGTATAGCCGATACATCACTGAAATAATGCCAAGTAATTGGAATGAACTTCACATAAGCTGATAAAGACTGAGAGAGATAACCTTATCAGATGATGGAGCACTAAATGTAGACTTTTTCACCTGCAACAAGAACAACCGGTGAAGACATGAAGCTAAAGTTTTGTACTTACTACAATGGAAACTATACTCAAAGATCCTACAGAGAAGACATATAAAACTCCTCAAATTCTGTTTATATAGTTTTAAAATGATTTAGTTTCCATTGAAGTTTGAATGCTAATGTTCAGCCAATCAGGTTGACCAATCAGTTTTGCACTCAAAACCATCCATTAAATTAAATACTAATAAGAATAAGTTGGCTCTATATTTGATTCCATGTGTTTTTTCTGTGTTTTTGGATGCAGAAGTCATGCCTATTAATTGAAAAGAAAATCATGCTCACTGTTGGAGAATCTTTCTCACTTCCTTTAAGAGGGGAAGTTGGCCTAATCAAATCTTACATTTATATCAATATTCTAAGAATATGTTCTCCTTTTCTACCTAAATTTCCTGCTTTTTCAGCAGTACCTTGCCAAAATCTATTGTACTGAGACCAATAGACCCGTCTCTTTGATAAATGTTAGAGACCAAAGAAACAACATCTTCACCTGCTCTAGTGTAAATACCATATCTCAATCCTTGCAAAATATCACCAAATTGCCTCCTCCAAATTGAATGAGGATAACTTCTTAGACTGATCTCCATATATAAAAATTAGAAGGAAATTGATTTCATCTCATCAAACCAAAACCAAGCCAAATAATGAAAGTTCCATATTTCTTCCTGGTTGCAACTCAAGCAATTTAGGAGACAGGCACTAAAACCTATTCCAAGGTTAGTAAAATTACCAATCAACTACCATTTGCAGCTTGGACCATCAATTAACAGAAAGTAGGGGCATGCTGTGTTTCTTCCAATTAAGATTTTAAGATATATATTTCACCCACTTATTATTACCCCAGAACTTAAAGGGAGATCAGTGTAGTTTTACCATTAATTACATTATGTCATACCCAGAGATTTAAAGTTTAAACACTATTTCTGAGATATTTCTATCAGCTTAAACATGGTTTAACAGTAAATCAACGATGATGTATTAAAGTTATAAAATTCTTAAGAGAGTCTCAAACCTTTCCCTCAAGGTATTCCAAGGCCTTCTCTTGTGTATATATATCAAGGCTTGCACATTCCTGAAATTAGAGCAATATAAGACAGAGATAAGTATTATTAAAAGAAAGAAAAGAAACTTTTGGAAGATAAAAATAAGTTTCAACAGCCCAACTTATACAAACTTCAAGGCAATAGATTAATTTCAAAATTGTAGGCTTCTTGTGCCTGCTCAATCATGATAACACTAATAACTTTATACAAATATACAAGTAATTGATAGAAACCCACTCCAATAACTCAACAATTTGAGCTGGGCTATGAGTCTTTCATGGGCTTGGGTAGAACTCTCCTTGGAAAACCGGCTTGTCAAGGGAGGGTGCCCAAACCTTTATAACCCATATGCCCACTATTTTCCCTTTCACTATGAGATCCTAACAGTAACTTAAAGCCCAATTCTTTGGATGCAATTTAGCATGGTAGGCCTATTTGCACCATTAAAATTACCGTAACAACCATTTTTCCAAGCATACACATTATCAAAATTTTTGAAATAATTTTCTTCCAAAAAATCTCAAGTTTTCAGTGTTATCTTCTATACAATTAAGCATTAACATATTTATTTTGTCTTGGAATATGAAGGATATTTTTCTGTAAGAGACAGTTAAACTATATTAAAGAAGAAATTGAAAGAGGTAAAAAAATGGACTAGAAATCCACAAAGAGATCAAAGAATCAGAGAAGGACAGCAAATCTATACAAGACATTGTAAACAATCTGTCAAAAATAATATCCCCTTCCCTGAACCAAAAGAAAGCAAACAATACAGAGTTACCCAGAAACAACTTTTGTTGGAATAGGTAAAAATATAATTTTGTCAATCTTGATAATCAATATTGCTCTTTTGGGGGTGATATGTGGTGAAAGAAATATAAGGATTATTGAAGACAGTGGAGGAGAAGATATTGGTGTTCTATTGAACAAAATCAAGTTTTTGGCATCTCTTTGGGCTTCTGTCTCAAAAGACTTCGAAGACACGTAATTTTTTCTTTATCCATCTTAATTGGTTACGGGTTGTCAGTTGAATCAAGTCCTTAACCAATTACCTCAATTGAAGGCAAAAGCAAGGAACTAAATCTTGGATCTCTTCCAACCATTTGTACAACCTCTTGATCACTTTCCATTCCCATAGCCTTCATGACAATCATTATAGGAATCTACAAAAAGAAATAAACATCAAAAATAAAAAATCCCACCCTTATATATATTCAAAAGAGATAGATGAGGAAATGATAAGAAATGGAAAATTAGAATTGAGAATTATATATTTATTGGCATATAGACCTTTTTCATGAACTGGTTGAGAAGCAAATACATCTTCTCCTTCTCCATCTGAATAACTGTTTTGCTTTTTACTGTCTCAGTACTACTTGTAACGGATGCATTTATACTAAAAACAGTTGACAACAAACCAAAACACATATAAGACAACATAAGGAGAAATATTGAGGTGTGAGAATATATGTGATCAATCACAGAACGTTTCTCAAAGTTAACATATAAAGTCCATAAAATAAACACAGAACAGAACACAGATATCAAGAAAACACAAGAAAACTGTAATGACACCCTCTATGGACTAAAAGTTATCGTATTGTCATTGACAGAAAAAAAAGTCATAGTATTCTAAAAGTACAAAATAAAAAGGAACCCAGTGGCCCATATGGCAAGTATAACTCCTACAGAATAAGGAAACCTTGCGTTTAAGTAAAAACCATCTCCATAACCTAAGCAGACTTCACCATTCTTCACAAATTTTGGGCTTAAAAGTGTTAAAAACTAGTTCTCAAGTTCCATCCAAAAGTACAGTGGCAACAATTATACTCCATATCCAACACATTAAAACAATACAAAGACATTATTTTTTCCCAAAACTGGAGACTAGGGTAACAAAACTTGAAAAACTTTATGCATAGGCCTAAGACCACAGTAGACCACCAAGGTTCAAAAAAGCCTAAAAGCAAATCTTACTTTTCCTGAAATTTTTACTAGTCTAAATCAGAAAAGCATGACGCTATAAGGGAGAGAAAGAAAAAGTACTTGTACTGGGCTTCAATTATTCAATTTAATTTAATCTTGGCATTCAAATGATAACTATTTTCTTATCAGAACATAAATTTAGTGCTAAGCTGAAAATACAAGTAAAAGTATCATGGACAAGCAATCCACCTGTAAGCGCAAAATAAAATGAAAACAACATTGATATTAAGAAAAAATGTCCCAAAATTAACAAAAGTGACAGCTAATTAAATAAGTGTGAACATGCAACTATAGGCTATGAACAACTACCATTACTGCTAAAGTTTCACATGATAAATTTGATACATCTTGTGCAAGTAATGAACGTGTTTTCCTTAAGTCCAAGCTATCTCCTTCCATGCTAAACCTCTGCAAGTAGTAAAAGAACACCACCAATCTAAACACAACTAAAAAGCATCTCAATCCAAATCATATTCTTCACCATAGTAAGATCGACTAGTGGCTGTGACCCTAGCCGCTTAAAGAAAAAAAGAATTCCTCTAAACTCGATTAAAGTGGAAGATGCTATAGATGAACTTCCCTAAATAAGAACTACCTCTTTCCTCACCAACCAATCACCAAAAAAAGAAACTATTACTGTATACTGCCACAGGATGCAGCATTCTCTCCATAGCCAAATCCACAATGCTTCCCAATGAAATGGAATTACAAAAGAACATTAACTGGCCCAAGAAACTCTGAGAAGAATTAACACAATAGAAGAATGAAGAAAAAAAAGATCAATAAACATAAATCAACAGTTCAGTGAAACCCAAATATGTGACTTTCTTCTTTGCATCTATTCACAAGCATTACTCCCTCAATGAGCATCATCCCAGAAAAATCTTGAATTGACTAGGGACTTTGGCCTCACATATATAGCTTTGATTGAATAAAGATTCTTCAGTATAGTTTTTGTGAATTTCTTAACTCTTTTAGAGAATTAAGAGTGTATTATAATATATTGCTGCTATTAAAACTTGGCCACTTCAACAGTTTAATATCAGAAGTACCATATATAATCAAAAAATAAATAAATAAAAAAACTACAAAACTAAAGAAGTGGTTAATCCTAATCATCAAAAGAACTAGGATGAATGGATAATGTTTTGACGAGAAACAAGAAACATCTTTTTTATCAGATTAAAAATGTATACACAAATAATGAGCAGCAATTAATGTCAACCAAACAAATAAAAGAAAAACATAACTAAAACCATTAAAATGAGCCAAAACGGCCTCCAAATATAAATATACATTAAACAATCAAGGAAGAATCAAAAACTATACAAGGAAAAGCATATAGAAGCAATAAAAAATACTCACTTCCCCTTCTTGTCAGTATCAATAATTATTCTATTCTTTGAAAGTTGTTCTTGTATTAATATCACCTGAAAAAGATATGCGATTTCATTACACTCTAATAACCAAAAGATTGGAAAAGAAAAAAGGGACAACAAGTTAGTTAAGCTAAATGAAACACTTTAGAGAAAGACTATTAAATGAAACAACACAATTCAAGCAAGTAAAATTCACAAACTTAAACAAATGATATAAATACATAAATAATAAAATTGATCAGAGAAATGCACACCAAAAAATGGGTAAATCAAGACTGACCCAGTAATATATAACATTTCTTTTAAAATAAATAAGATATTTCATATTCAAGATTATTGAATATCCACATTTACACATACAGCACCACATTAGAATTTAAAATGCTAGTACTAATGATCAGTAAGTCTTCAGGCTTAATGGTTAAAATAATAATTTATCTTCTTTATTTTGTCGATTTATCTCTATTCAGCCTAATACCATTTCACTACCATTTTTCCTTTATGCAGTTGATTGATATATTCAGAGAAACACTCATCACAACAGATTCTGGTTCCTTCTTGACAAATTATTAGTGCTTCCCACTAGCACATTGTGAGTCTAAGAGGGAAGTTAGAATATCATTGAATTCAACCAATATACTAATTAGAATGAATCCAATAGAACCAAAAATTCTTTCACGTCTTACCAATAAAATATAAATAAATTTACTTGATTTAACTAAGTTTACAAGATTACACTGGTTTAGATTATGACCGACTCCAATTGAAATCATATTTTACTGGCATCAACAAAAGACCAAAGCCCTCCAAAAATTAGTCCAACAATAGCAAAAAATAAAAAAAAATAAAAAATAAGAGTGACCATCATTGCAAAAGGTGTGGTTAAAAATTGCATAGAATTCCACCCATTGTGTGGTTAAAAGTTGATTGTTCTACTTTTCTCTTTTCTTTTTTCCAGTCATAGCAAAGCTTGACACCTAACATTACATAGAATTCCAAATCCCTTGATCATATATTAATATGTTTACTTGCCTATGTTCACTCATACATACAAGGGTAGTTCTAACATACCAACACTTTCTCTTTCCCTAATATTGAGAAGCATGATCAAAGTATTACCTTCTCGGTTCCTTTAATGACAAAATATCCTCCAGGATCTAGAGGGCACTCACCTAAAGTCAAAGGCAAAAGAGATGATACTTATTATTTAATTTAAAATAAGAAGAATGAACCCAAAAGAATAGACATGCCATAAATTCTAATGTTCATGCACACAAACCAAGTCTCGAAAGTTCAGCCTCATCTTTCCCGTATAGAACACAACAACAACTACGTAGCATGATAGGCATTCTTCCAATAACAACATCATTCTGCAAGAAGAAAACACAGCATAGTATCCAAAATATTTGTTGTTCATACCAAATAAAATAACTACGTTGCTAATTACCTTCTCCATGATAGTCTTTTCAGTATGACTCCCTTGAATATATTCAATATTAACCAATATCGGAGCAGCATACCTAAATTTACACCATATCCAAGGGACAAAAATTGAGATGTATGCACGCAGTTTACAATATATACCAAGAGTTAAGAATTTACATAAAAACTTATACATTCATTTGAGGCCCAACACATACTACATAATGAACTTTCACCAAGTTAATTAAGCATATGAATTCGAGAAATATTACATACGTCATATCAGATAGCCGACACATGTGAGGATTAAGCTTTTCACTGACACCATCCATGGTCACAGATGGCTGACCAATTCTAACATCTTTAAACCTGCCAAAAAAAAATTAAAAAGAATATGAACCGGAGCAATTGAAAATATTCAAAAAAAATTAAAAACAAATTACCAACTTGTGTCCAAGATAATTTTCTCAATAAATAACATTACATAAAACAGAGCAATAAACCATTCTGCTTCAAGATTCATGACAGTAAAAGCTTTAGAACAAAGTCTTTATATGACTGATATACTGATCCTTAACAATGTTTAACTTTTTAACTATAAAATTTGTAGCTCCAAATGCTACATGAACTACAACAAAGCAAGTACAAATATTTTTACCTAAGATATATACTCGGATCAATTCCAGACACAATGCGATCATTTGCACGGACAATCTTCTTTATACCAGTATTAACAAAGTAATTAAACGAGTCCAAATGCTGTTTCACCAATCCTCTCACCTATCAATGGAAGATAAAAGAGTAAATTCACTGAAAATAAATACAACAAAAAATACAGATAGGTTTTTGTTTACCTTCAAAAACTCAGGAAGAAGCTGGAACTTATCGACCGCAGATTTCAAAGGAGCGGCAAGATTTTGCTTGTCCAGTACTTGTTCGCTACCACTAAAAAAAAAAAGAATTTCAGTTCATAAAATGGAACTATTAATCAATAATGAAAAATGAAAATGCGTGTAATTAAATTGGAGAGTGATGGACATACTATTGGTGTTCTTTTGGATGCTCTTCTCCTTGCTTTGGACTCATCGCTTATTCCAGAGAGATTGTTTCCGGCTCCGGCGTACTTAGAAAATCGCTGACGAGTCTAGGGAGGCAGTGAGGCAGTGTGAGAGTTTGGGTTTTTGTAACCGCCATTTTATAGGTTTTATTAGTTTTCTAGTTTATTTCAGTTTTCTCCCTAAGATTTGGCGAAACTAACTCTGGCCTACTAAGTTTCGAAAGTGAAACGAAACTGCCCCTGTCAATTAACAGAGTTATGTCTAACAAAGCGGCGTAAGTGCAATTTCGACTTTTAATGAGATAAAACAATACAATTATAAAACAAAACTTAAAATGGAATTGATTATAAAAAGTGAAAGAAAAATCACTACCATACACGCAGGTAATTGAAATTAAACACACGGACATACAAGTAAATTACACTAGAAGATCCACATAACTCCAGAACCCATTCTTATATAAGCCCAACCTAATTACCAAATCTCTAATTCTCCAATTTCCCTTAATATTGCTCGCGTCTTCCTTTTCTCCACGCACTTGTCCGATTCCAGTCCACTTCTCCTTCTCGGCTTCATTAATTTAATCTTCCTCTTCCATAGTCCACTCTTCTCCACCATGTTCTCCTCCACCGTGTTCTGAGTTCACAAATGTAAGTAACTATTTTCCTTTCTTATTTTAACAATTTTATTTTGGTATTGGAGTGCTTAATCACATGCTTACGACAACTCGGCTGAAATTTAATAGGCAATCCTGCTCTAGGGTTTAATTTGAATTTGAAGCCAATTCAATTTACAAAACACAATACAAAAATTGAGTGAGTGATGGGCTCTTTGTCGACTGAAGCTTTTCCAACAGTACAGGTATCTCCTCAAAATCCTTTCATTTTCAACGGAAAAAATTGTTTACACTTGTCTCAATCTTGTTTCGTACAAAATTGTTTTACAAACCTTTGATGGTAATGAAACATCAAGTTTTCGATTGTTTGAGATTAAAATAAGTTGAAGAAGGGGATAAAAGTATTATATTTAATATGGGCCTAGTTCAACTTAGTCATCTAGTTGGCTTTGTTTTTTATTAATCTTGTAAAGAAATTTTGCTTGAAGGAATACATGCATGCCTTTGTACAAGTTACGCAAGTTCTTTTAATTACTTTCATCTTAAATTTTACTTCTTTGATTGATCAATCGTTAAACCCGAGGACATTGGAGAAGTCTTAGGTCGTGATCTTATGTTTTGAGTAGGCTATTCACTTGTTCTTAGAAAAGATTATTTAAAGTAAGTTTGCTGATAATATTTGGAAAAAATAAGGTTTGCTGATAATATTTGGGAGGCATAAATTCCTCCAAAACTGTTTGCGGTTATGTATTGTGTTTGTTGTTAATGTTAGAATTCATTATAAATCCCAGCACCTTGTAAAAACTCTTGTATTGTGTCATATATGAATCAACTCTTGTATATATTTACAATGTCTGAACATATAGATTCTTTTAATATATTTGGATATACGTGTGTATCTTGGGTTGCTAACAGTCAAATCTGCTACCTCTAGTGTAATCTAATTCTCTCATTCAGTATCCTGCTCCACAAGCAAGTAATTGGACTCTAGTTTATGTATTCATGACAATTAGATGATATACAGTTTAGTCTTTGGGCATTGCATTGATAACTCATTAAGTTTGTCTCTAAAAATTGCTCTATTCCATAGTGATGACACATTTTATTACCATTCATAGAGACAGAAATTTGAGAATCTAATGAGGCTAATTGAAAGTTCTTACCCATTCTTGTGTCTCCACAAGAAAGAAATTGAGAGACAGTTCAGCAAGTTGACAAGCATCTCGATCACCCTCCATATGCTTCTGTACGTATTCTACCTTCTCATTTTAGCTTTCTTGGGAATTTTTCATGATTTACTTTTTCCTATGTTATGTTGGGTTAAACAAATTTATGGTCCATATTTTGTATTGTGTGTTCCATAGATGAGACAATGGGCAATCATGGAGTTGAATGAGCTCGGTGGTTCAAGTGAGGAAACCATATCAAAGTTTATTGAGGGAGTTGTCTTTTGCTCATGCAAGCCAATTGACACATCACCTACAAAAGTTTGTTAAGAAATGAGACATTGTTTGTACTCCTGGAAACTGTTATATAGTTACAAATGAGAGTTCTGATTTTTGTTATAAGTTGAAGAAGGAACAGAAACATTTGACAAGGAGGTGTCAAAAGGGAAGAAACCTTGCAAAAACAACAAATCGAGTTATGAGGATAGAGAATCCATACCATCTCCTCAAAATAATGATAACACAAGTGAAGGTATAAAATTAATTTATTTATCCGAGTGATTTTTAGTTTATGTAAATAATGCATGTTAATGAATTAACCACTTGGATAAATAAATTAATCACTTGTATAAAATTAATCACTTGGATAAATAAATTAAGCACTTGTATAAAATTAATCACTCGGATGAATAAATTAATTAATCACTTGGATAAATAAATACCTTCACTTGTTTTTTCATCATTTTGAGGATATGGTAATGAATTCTCTGTCCTTGTAACTTGATTTGTTGTTTTTGCAAGGTTTCTTCCCTTCTAACACCTCCTTGTCAAATGTTTCTATTCCTCCTTCAACTTATAACAAAAACCACAACTCTCATTTATAAGTATATAACAGTTTCCAAGAGTACAAACAATATCTCATTTCTTAACAAACTTTTGTAGGTGATGAGTCAATTGGCTTATATGAGCAAAAGGCAACTCTTTTAATAAACTTTGATATGGTTTCCTCACTTGAACCACCGAGCTCATTCAACTCTGTGATTGCCCTTTGTATCATCTATAGAACACACAACACAAAATATGGACTATAAATCTGTTTAACCTAGCATAACATAGGGAAAAGTAAAATCATGAAAAATTCCCAAGAAAGCTAAAATGAGAAGATAGAATACGTACATAAGCATATAGAGGGTGATCAGGATGCTTGTCAGCTTACTGAACTGTCTCTCAATTTCTTTCTTGTGGAGGCGCAAGGATGGGCAAGAACTTTCAATTAGCCTCATTAAATTCTCAAATTTCAATCTCTGTGAATGGTAATAAAATGTGTCATCACTATGGAATAGAGCAATTTTCAAAGACAAACTTAATAAGTTATCAATGCAATGCCCAAAGACTAAACTGTATACCATCTAATTGTCATGAATGCATAAACTAGAGTCCAATTACATGCTTGTGGAGCAGGATACTGAATGAGAGAATTAGATGACACTAGAAGTTGCAGATTTGACTGTTAGCAACCCTAGATAGACACATATATCCATATATATTAAAAGAATCTATATGTGCAGACATTGTAAATACATACAAGAGTTGATTCATAAATAACACAATACAAGAGTTTTTATAAAGTGTTGGGATTTATAATAAATTCTAACATTATACATAACCGCAAACGGTTTTGGAGGAATTTATGCCTTCCAAATATTATCAACAAACCTTATTTTTTCCCAAATATTATCAACAAACTTACTTTGAATAATCTTTCCTAAGAACAAGTGAATAACCCACTCAAAACATAATATCACGACCTTAGACTTCTCCAATGTCTTCAGATTTAACGATTGATCAATCAAATGAGTAAAATTTAAGATGGAAGTAATTAAAAGAACTTGGGTAACTTGTACAAAGGCATGCATGTATCATTGTTTTAAAAATCAGACCACTCCTTAACCCGATCAAGAGGTCGGTTCCTGTGTTGACTGGTCCAACCGATTGGACCAGTCGGTCTGACTGGTATACAATAGACACATCTCGGAATAATTTAATCAGTCCTTATAAGTTTGAAAACCTGCAAATACAACCCTAAAATTTACCCATGAGTTCTTGTAAGTTTGAATTTTGAAATAACCTGTCTATTATTAATTATTTTTTTCTCTCTCCCCATCACTTTCCTTTTTCTGCTTTTTTTCTCTTTAAATCAATTTCTTCTTTCTCTTTTTTTCTCTCTCCTTGTCACTTTCTTCTTTCTTCTATTCGTTCCCCTCTTTCTCCTATAACTTTTTCTTCTTCCTTCCTTTTTCTCTTCATCTCCTCTTTTCTTTCTTCTAATTTTTTTCCTTCCTCTCTTTCTTCTAATCTTCTTTCTTCCTCTATTTTTCTTCTTTAGTCTTTCCTTTCCCCCCTCCCCCTCCCTTACTTATTCTTCTTTACACTATAAATTTTAGAGTAAGTGAAAAAGAATAGAAGATGCAATTTGGTCTTTAGAGATGAAAATGGTATGAAATGAAATGGAGAATGTTTGCTAGCTCAATAAAATGGAGAATGAAACAATACTGCAAATCTGGTTTAGGAATTAGGGATCCGATTAATCCTAAAATAGTGAATCGTTTTAAACTCCAGACCAGTCGGATCGGCGGTTTTATACTGTTTCACCGGTCTATTACCGGTCTAAAGCGGGTTTTATGTTATTTTCGGTTTTTATGTTAACTCAGACCGGAGTTAAGGCTACGTCCCGGTCAAACTGGTTGGACTAGTCGATCCAGTCCGGTTTTAAAACAGAGGCAGGTATTCCTTCAAGCAAAATTTCTTTACAAAGTAAATAACAAACAAAGCCAACTAGATAATTAAATTGGATGAGGCCCATATTAAATATTATAGTTTTATCCCCTTCTTCAACTTATTTTAATCTCAAACAATCGAAAACTTGAAGTTTCATTACCATCCAAGGTTTGTAAAGCAATTTTGTACGAAACAAGAGTAAGACAAGTGTAAACAATTTTTTCCTTTGAAAATGAAAGGATTTTGTGGAGATACCTGTATTGTTGGAAAAGCTTCGGTCGGCGAAGAGCCCATCACTCACTCAATTTTTGTATTGAGTTTTGTAATTTGAATTGGCTTCAGATTCAAATTAAACCCCAGAGCAGGATTGCATATTCAATTTCAGCCAAGTTGTCATAAGCATGTGATTAAGCACTCCAATACCAAAATAAAATTGTTAAAAGAAGAAAGGAAAAAAGTTACTTACAT